ATGGATTAAAGACTTAAACATCAGACCTAATACCATAAAAACCTTAGAAGAAAATCTAGGCAAAACCATTCAGGACATAGGTGTAGGCAAGGACTTCATGACCAAAACGCCAAAAGCAATGGCAACAAAAGCCAAAATAGACAAATGGGACCTAATCAAACTCCACAGCTTCTGCACGGCAAAAGAAACAGTCAGTAGAGTGAATCGGCAACCAACAGAATGGGAAAAAATTTTGCAGTCTACCCATCTGACAAGGGGCTGATATCCAGAATTTACAAAGAACTAAAGCAGATCTACAAGAAAAAAACAAACAAGCCCATTCAAAAATGGGCAAAGGATATGAACAGATACTTTACAAAAGAAGACATACAGGAGGCCAACAAACATATGAAAAAATGCTCATCATCACTGGTCATCAGAGAAATGCAAATCAAAACCACATTGAGATACCATCTCACACCAGTTAGAATGGCGATCATTAAAAAATCGGGAAACAACAGATGCTGGAGAGGATGTGGAGAAATAGGAACACTTTTACACTGTTGGTGGGAATGTAAATTAATTCAACCATTGTGGAAGACAGTGTGGCGATTCCTCAAGGACCTAAAAATAGAAATCCCATTTGACCCAGCAATCCCATTACTGGGTATATATCCAAAGGATTATAAATCATTCTACTACAAGGACACGTGCACACGAATGTTCATTGCAGCACTGTTTACAATAGCAAAGACCTGGAACCAACCCAAATGCCCAACGATGATAGACTGGATAGGGAAAATGTGGTACATATACACCATGGAATATTATGCAGCCATCAAAGATGACTCTGGTAGTTGAAAGAACCACTTATTAAGAAATAAAGAATTCTTCATCAGGAAACATTTTTTTTTCGGAGATGAGGTAATTCTCTATTTCTTGCCACAAAGAGTCCACTCAAATAACTGCATCTTCCCTGTGGGTCTTAGAGAGAAACCACTGAGACTATCACCTACATGATGAAAATCACCCAGCCAAAGGACTGCTTTCCGGAAAAACCACAGACCACAAACTATCTCCTTAAGAAATGTGCTCTCAGGTAAAAGCAAGATTTTGCAGCTGGTGAAAGAATGAGGTAGATCCATGTGTATTGATATAGAGAGATAGACACATTGTTACATTAAAAAACAAGTTTCACCACTCACGCCTGTAACCTCAGCACTTTGGGAGGCTTAGGTATCTCAGCACTTTAGGAGGCTGAGGCGGATGGATTATCTGAGGTCAGGAGTTCGAGACCAGCCTGACCAACATGGTGAAACCCTGTCTCTACTAAAAATACAAAAAAAAAAAAAAAAAGTTTCTTGGCCAGGGGCAGTGGTTCACACCTGTAATCCCAGCACTTTGGAAGGCTGAGGTGGGTGGATCACCTGAGGTCAGAAGTTCAAGACCAGCCTGGCCAATATGGCAAAACCCCATCTTTAGTAAAAATATAAAAATCAGTCGGGTATGGTGGTGTGCACCTGTAATCCCAGCTACTCTGGAGGCAGAGGCAGGAGAATCACTTGAACCTGGAAGGCAGAGGTTGCGGTGAACCGAGATTGCACCACTGCACTCCAACCTGAGCAATGGAGTGAGTGAGAGTCAGTCTCAAAACAAACAAACAAAAATTTAGAGCATTGAATACTGTTATTATTATGCTAGGGATCTGTATAGAAAGACCTAGAGGAATAATGACAAAGAAAACAATGCTTATTCTGAGGTGTGGGACTATGAGGTGCTTAGTCCTGAGTCCTGAGTCCTACATTTCAGTACTATTTTAATTGTTTTGAACAAATGTGTGTTTATTTTTCGGACTTAAAAGTAAAGACTTGTTGGCCAGGCGCGGTGGCTCAAGCCTGTAATCCCAGCACTTTGGGAGGCCGAGGTGGGTGGATCACGAGGTCAACAGATCGAGACCATCCTGGTCAACATGGTGAAACCCTGTCTCTACTAAAAATACAAAAAATTAGCTGGGCATGGTGGCACGTGCCTGTAATCCCAGCTACTCAGGAGGCTGAGGCAGGAGAATTGCCTGAACCCAGGAGGCGGAGGTTGCGGTGAGCCGAGATCGTGCCATTGCACTCCAGCCTGGGTAACAAGAGCGAAACACCGTCTCAAAAAAATAAAAAATAATAATAATAAATAAAGACCTGTTTAGAATGTAGGTCTGATTTGTTTTATGATGCTTAAGAATTTGTTACTGGCTATGCATTCCAGAAACATGTGCAGAGAGGATTTCCCTAAGGTATATCACTTGACCAATATTTAAGGAAAAAATAAACTGAGACCTAGGAAGATAATGTGGCTTTTCTCCCACTGTGACTGCTAGACCCGGACCTTCAGCTCCGTGTTTATCGACTTCAGTGCTGAGGGCTAAAATACATAGTTATCTCCAACTCCGGCATACACATTTGGAAACGTACGCAAAATTGCTTTGTGGAAAACTTGCAACTGCTTAGAGGAAAGATAATTTTTTGTATTAAGTTGAAAAGAGGCTAATGGTGTATTTCTTCAATGACAGGCAATTCTTGGTAGCAAACGTGACACAGGTGAAAAAGACAGAAACATACAGGCTAGGGCTTTTCCAGAAATACAATTAAAATCAAAATTTCATGAATATTACTTCTGGTGCCTTTTGTATATCTTAGAAACTCATTAAGTTCTTTGGATAGTATCCATTCACATTATAAATATTTACTGAGCACCTAGTATGTGTTTAGCCGCTGGGGTACAACACAGAGTCAATGAGACAAATTCCGGCACTCCTGGAGCTTCTATCCTCCTGGGAAAACATAATAAGCAAAATAATATATAAATAAAGGACAGCATTTAGGGTAAAGATATAATGAAGCAGGGAAAGGGACGGTGACAAAAGTGCTTTTTTTTTTTTTTTTTTTTTGAGACAGAGTCTCACTCTGTCGCCCAGGCTGGAGTGCAGTGGGCGATCTCAGCTCACTGCAACCTCCGCCTCCCAGTTCAAGTGATTCTCCTGCCTCAGCCTCCCGAGCAGCTGGGATTACAAGTACGTGCAACCATGCCCCTTTTTTTTTTTTCAGTAGGGACGGGGTTTCACTGTGTTAGCCAGGATCTTCTGACCTTGTGATCTGCCTGCCTCAGCCTCCCAAAGTGCTGGGATTCCAGGCGTGAGCCACCGTGCCCGGCCAAGTGCTATTTTTGAAAGGTCAGGAAGCCTTTTAGGGAAAAGTGCCATTTGAACAGGGACCTGGAGAGAGGAAGGGAGCTATGCAGAGTTCTGAGGGGAAGGCATTCCATGAGGACAGCAAGAGGCAGGCCCTGGGAAGGAATAAGAATTTCTTGTTGGCTGGGCGCGGTGGCTCACACCTGTAATCCCAGCACTTTGGGAGGCCGAGGCGGGTGGATCACGAGGTCAAGAGATCGAGACCATCCTGGTCAACATGGTGAAACCCCGTCTCTACTACAAATACAAAAATTAGCTGGGCATGGTGGTGCACGCCTGTAGTCCCAGCTACTAGGGAGGCTGAGGCAGGAGAATTGCTTGAACCCAGGAGGCGGAGGTTGCGGTGAGCCGAGATCGCGCCATTGCACTCCAGCCTGGGTAACGAGCAAAACTCTGTCTCAAAAAAAAAAAAAAAGAAAGAAAGAAAGAAAGAAAGAAACAAGAAAGGTAATTATGGGCCGGGCGCGGTGGCTCAAGCCTGTAATCCCAGCACTTTGGGAGGCCGAGGCGGGTGGATCACAAGGTCGAGAGATCGAGACCATCCTGGTCAACATGGTGAAACCCCGTCTCTACTAAAAATACAAAAAATCAGCTGGGCATGGTGGTGCGTGCCTGTAATCCCAGCTACTCAGGAGGCTGAGGCAGGAGAATTGCCTGAACCCAGGAGGCGGAGGTTGCGGTGAGCCGAGATCCTGCCATTGCACTCCAGCCTGGGTAACAAGAGCGAAACTCCGTCTCAAAAAAAAAAAAAAAAAAAGAATTTCTTATGTTTCCGAAAAGGTAAAGAACATCTCAAAGCGCTCACAATGTTTGGGATGTCAGGGACCTGCTGCTGCTGTTTGCCTGTATGTAGGCTCAGTGCTGTACATTCATCTCTGCTGCTTACATATTTTAGAATGAATTTTATGTAGGAGTCTAAATCTACTACAAAGGTACTGCCTTATCTAAATGTCTCTAAAAATACCTCCTGCCTATCACAAAGACATAGAATCTCGTTCACAAGAGTCAAAGTTGTTCGTTCCACAAGGAGAGATAAGGCTGGACCAAAAGCATTCCTGGGTTGAAGTTCACACTCCCCACCCCACCCCGACCCCCACTCCCAAGCAGTGACAGACTGCCTTGAACAGGTGGCTGGAAGGGTCCTAAAGGGACAGAGAACAGAGCTGCCGAAGACGTCTTCTGCATTCTCAACTTTTAGCCCCAGTTGTTAGACAACTGGCGTCTCCCCTACACATCCAGCTCTAGTGGAGACAGAAGTGACAGCCCCTGCTTACAACGAGGAGACTATGGCTCAGAGAAGTCAGGGGGCCAACCAGGACCCTGGAGAGAGCCGGCTCTGACTCGTAAGTCATGCTCCATTCCCTGAGCCACATCCGTGTTCCACTTCAGGAAATGAGCTTGTTGATATTTCATTTAAGCAAAAATGAAAAATGAATACCAGATGTTTGAAAACATTGCAACATGTCCTGCTGGAACTTCAAAGTGCATTCTGCACCCAAATAAATAAATAAGTAAATTAGAAAATCCACACAGCAAAAAAGAAATGTTTTGAATGAAAACACACTGTCTCTCACACACATACTCTCTCTTTCTCAAACACACACACACACACACAGACACACACGAAAACAATATCTCATTTCTTCTTCAGGGAGCAGCTGTGAAGGAAATTGGGGGAGGAGGATGGACACAAGATCCCATCTTTGTGTTTGTGTTTTATACAGACTAAGCTTTTAGGCCAGCCCTCCAGGCTGTAGGAGGCGTGGCACCCGTGAAAAGTAAACATCAAAGACCCAATGAAGCTTATAAAATAGCTTGGGAGAGGCCAGTCATCAAGACAGGCATCTCAAATCGGATGATTTTGCACGTGGATACTGCCTTCATCTTGATAGAAAAGGTATGTACTGTAGTTTTAACCGTTTCAATTATGATAATAGTGTCTAAAATAGAAACTTCTGTAGGCCCTTTTCAGCTACATATAATTGCCACGGATTGAGGGCTTGTGTCGGTAGCTTTAGACTTGTTCTCATTTTTCCTCCAACAAATGTCCAAGGTAGGTATCATTAGAGCCATTTTTCAGGGGATAAAGCTGAGGTTCAGATATACTAAGCAACAGGCCTAAGATAAAAACGTGGGCGCGGTGGCTCACGCCTGTAATCCCAGCACTTTGGGGGACTGAGGCGGGCGGATCACAAATTCAGGAGATCAAGACCATCCTGGCTAACACAGTGAAACCCTGTCTCTACTAAAAATACAAACCAAACCTCGTTGGACAACAAGGAATTTTTCCATACATAAACACTGTGCTAGGTGAATTCTCAGTGAGTTATCCAACTGTGCATCACAGTAGAATAATCTGGAAACTGGAATTAATTGTTTTACTAGAAAATGCATTTAACAATATGGCATACGATATTGTGTTTGGGAGATATGTTTCTTGTTCTATTTAATGGCTAAATGAGTCTTTGAGACCTAATTACTTATCGGAACATATTTTATCTTATGAGGTGAAATTTCGCAATCTAGTCCTTCATGTTCTGCAGATCTTTGAGATCAGGGGCTCTGTCCACAGTAATACATGGGCACTAAGAACATGGGCTCTTGGGAGACCTAGGCTCACACTCTGGCTTGGGAGTTTATCAGGAAGTAACCAGGACAAATTCATCTCATTGGTACAAAGAGTGTCAGCAGAGGTCACTTGTATAAGGTTAACCGAGAGAAAGGAGAGTAGACCCAATATCAGGCAAGCAAGTTTTATTAACCTGCCGGGCTGTTCCGTAGCAATCAGAAGAGGCAGCCCCGAGCCTACAAGGAGTTTGTATGGGGTGAGAGGGGCATAAGGGAGTTTCAGGACCAAGGTAACTTAACAGCTTGTAACAAACACAAATATAGTTTTTTAGCTTGTGACAGACTTACAATACACCATCCTGTGACTTCTGTGGCGGCAGTTTTTTTAAAAACAGGATTTGCCGGGCACGGTGGCTCAAGCCTGTAATCCCAGCACTTTGGGAGGCCGAGGCGGGTGGATCACGAGGTCAAGAGATCGAGACCATCCTGGTCAACATGGTGAAACCCCGTCTCTACTAAAAATACAAAAAAATTAGCTGGGCATGGTGGCACGTGCCTGTAATCCCAGCTACTCAGGAGGCTGAGGCAGGAGAATTGCCTGAACCCAGGAGGTGGAGGTTGCGGTGAGCCAAGATCGCACCATTGCACTCCAGCCTGGGTAACGAGTGAAACTCCGTCTCAAAAAAAAAAAAAAAAAAAAAAAAAAAAAAAAAAAAAAAAAACCCAGGATTTTACAGGTATGTGTAAAACAGGAATTTAAACAAAGGTTTGTTTTCCATGACCTCCTCCACACACCCTGCGCTGTCCAGGTGGCTGTAATCACGTGTTGCTCTGTCTTAATCGTAGTATGTCTGGCAGCCTTGCTGTGGCACCAGATAGGAATGCAGCTGCTGAGCAGTCAGAGTGGGAGGTCAGCAGCGTGGAGGGCGTTTTCAGGGGCAGCTTGTCCCTAATAGCTTCCAGAGGAGATGCTGTGGAGACTGAGGGCATAGCGCACTTAACGTCCTGAGACCAGGACTTCTCTGATGGGAAACGTAATGCATGCAGAGCAGTGATTTGCAGTTAGTGCCAGGCCCAAAGTGGATGCCCTGTAACCTTGGTAGGATTGCTTTGAAATTACCTCATATTCAGTTAAAAATTATATTTATTTATTTTATTTTATTTTTTGAGACGGAGTCTTGCTCTGTCACCCAGGCTAGAGTGCAGTGGCACGATCTCAGCTCACTGCAACCTCTGACTCCCAAGTTCAAGCCATTCTCATCCCTCAGCCTCCTGAGAGGCTGGGATTACAGGCCCGCACCACCACACCGGGCTGATTTTTGTGTTTTTTTGTTTGTTTTTGTTTTGTTTTTTGACACGGAGTTTTGCTCTGTTGCCCAGGCTGAGTGCAATGGTGTGATCTCGGCTCACTGCAACCTCCGTCTCCCGGGTTCAAGTGATTCTCCTACTTCAGTCTCCTGAGTAGCTGGGATTACAGGCGTCCACCACCATGCCCAGATAATTTTTTGTATTTTTAATAGAGATCGGGTTTCACCATGTTGGCCGGGCTAGTCTCGAACTCTTGACCTCAGGTGATCCACCCACCTCGGCCTTCCAAAGTGCTAGGATTACAGACATGAGCCACTGTTCCAGGCATAATTTTTGTATTTTTAATAGAGACAGGGTTTTACCATGTTGGCCAGGCTGGTCTCAAACTCCTGACCTCAAGTGATCCACCCGTCTTGGCTTCCCAAAGTGCTGGGATTACAGGCATGAGTCATGCCTGGCCAAAAATAATATTTAACCTGGCGCGGTGGCTCATGCCTGTAATCCCAGCACTTTGGAAGGCTGAGGTGGGTGGATCATGAGATCAGGAAATAGAGACCATCCTGGCTAACATGACGAAACCCTGTCTCTACTAAAAATACAAAAAAAAATAGTTGGGAGTGGTGGCACATGCCTGTAGTCCCAGCTACTCAGGAGGCTGAGACAGGAGAATCCCTTGGACCCGGAAGGTGGAGGTTGCAGTGAGCTGAGATCACGCCACTGCACTCCAGCATGGGCAACAGAGCGAGACTCCTTCTCAAACATAGTAATAATAATAATATTTAAATATGCTTGTTTTGTAAAGTATTTAAACTCCTAATTAGAACAATCTTCCTATTGATAGCAGAAGAAGGAAGATAGCAAAAATATATATCATATGTAATCCATATGTTACCCAAAGTCTTAAGTGTACATTAATAAAATGCCCAATAAGTAATGAGTAAGTTAAAATGAAAGGGCAAGTTAAATTGAAAAATGTAATGGATGCCGTCCGCCCTTCTCTCACAAAGAGTTTTAACCACAGGAATAAAACTACCGCAACAAAGAGGCTTCTTTGGAAGAGAGGCAATCAAGGGGGTTTGTTCTGACATCCTCCTACAGAGGTAAAGAATATGTTTCAGCCCACGAGAGAACATTTTGTTAGAGTAAAAGGTAGAAGTGACTTTTGTTATAAGTGTCATGTGGTGGTGAGGCTCATCAGGTCACAGAGGCAGGGGTTTATTGAAAGGCCCCGACAGTGCCCGGGAGAAGCAGGTTCAGGGTGTTGCGGATCAGAGACGGGGAGACAGGACCCAAGTCCCAGCTCTCTGCCCCTTCCAGGCCCCAGCTTCCCCGTCTGTACACCTTGGGAGTAGGGCTAGATAGATGACCTCTAAGGTCCTGTCCGGGGTGGGGGACCTTGTAGAATGTGCATGACGTGTGGCCAGGCCTTTAGCTTGGGCCTACTGAGTAGAACTCAAGATCTCTTGAGAATGGACGCAAATGTGTGGGGGTTTAAGCTGCATTGCTATAAATTTGTTATCCCCCAAAAGGTTAAAAGACAGGTGTTACTTACCCGGTGGTGGAGCTGATGGGAAATGGAGCCTCAAAGACCAGGGAAAGCGGCCCTGCTGCAGACTCGCTCGAAGGGGCCTCAGCAACCCTCTCCCCACCTCTGCAGCCCCAGCTGGCAAGCTGCTGTCATTACATAACTGTTATTTTGAAAACTAGGCAACAAAACCTCCAGGAAAAAAAAAAAAAAAAAAAAAAACTATTGATTATTAAAGGGTATTTGGAGGTTTCAAGACTCATAATAAAGCAGTTATAATTATTCTTGTAATGACACATCCTTTGAAATGCTCAGATCTGAGAACATTCTGCTTGCATTGCATCAGCCATCATCATTACAGGCAGAAATGCAGAGAGCTGGAAATAGCTCATGTGCAAGCTACAGGCAAGGAGTCACCAGAAAAGGAACAAACTGAAACCAAGTCAGTGAAGGAAACAGGGAGGAGCGTCAAATGCCCAGAACCTGCAGAGAGTTCTGCAGCCTCTGTCTCCCTGCCCCGCTGCCCCACTTCAAAGCCAGCTTCTGCTGCTAAAGGACTCGTGGGGTTGAAATGCTTGTTGCACAATTACATACCAGCTGACAGTCCTTCTGTGATTTGATGCACTTCATCTGTGAAAAGTACCCTCAACAGGCCAGGCGCAGTGGCCCATGCTTATAATCTCAGCACTTTGGGAGGTTGAGGTAGGTGGATCATCTGAGGTCAGGAGTTTGAGACCAGCATGGTCAACATGGTGAAACCCCATCTCTACTAAAAATACAAAAATTAGCCAGGAGTTGTGGCAGGCGCCTGTAATCCCAGCTACTTGGGAGGCTGAGGCAGAAGAATTGCTTGAACCAGGGAGACAGAGGTTGCAGTGAGTTGAGATTGTGCCACCACACTCCAGCCTGGGTGACAGAGTGAGACTCCATCTCAAAAACAAAACAAAACCCTCAACAGGATGTCAAAAAAAAAAAAAAAAAAAAAAAGAAGGAAAGAAAAAAGGAAGGAAGGAAGGAAAAGAAAGAGAGAAGAAAAGAATTCTAGAAAGTACCATCATTTTTCTGCTTTTCATAGTAACGATAACCAGCATTTACTGCACATTTACTCTGTCAGACACTCCTCGAAGTACTCTTTCTATATTATCTCATTTAATGATCACAAAATTTCATGAGATAAGAATGATTATTATTCCCACTTACTAGTCAAAGAAGCTAAGGCATAAATGAACACAGTTATACCTAGTATGGGGCAGAGTCAGAGTTTGAACCCAGCTAGTGTGACCCAGCACACCACTCCCTTTAAGGTTTCCAAGCGCACTCTTGGTCTGGTACAGCGCCCAGCAAAATGAGGGCAGGGGAAGGGGTGGTGTCAGGGTGGCATCTCCTTGATGAATCTCAGAGGACACTAGGTGCTGGGCAACGTTTGGTTTGGTTTTGTATCTTTCCCAGTTCTTGGAGGTTTTAATCCCCAACTTCGCATAGCCCCTCCACGTTATTTCTGTTCATTCGCTACTTTGAGGTATCGACTTTGATTCTTTGAGCTGACACTTTGAGGCCCATGGGTGATTCTAAGGAGAACCAGACACGGTGCCCATCCTGGGAGATGCACAATTCGGTGAGAGTGGGGTGCAAAATCAATCCAACAAACTGTAATACCAGGCAGAGAGCGCCCTGGTAAAAGTGCAGAGGTTCTGATGAAGGCCTCACAGCAACACGGACAAGCAGGTGACCCTGCAAGATGAGGGGTCCCATGAGCCGAGGAGAGAAGAGGAGGAACCACCTGCAGAGGGACCCTCGGCCACAGGAATCTTGCTTCATGATTGTGTGGCCTTAGAAAGCTCAGAACGGCCAGGCACAGTGGCTCATGCCTGTAATCCCAGCACTTTGGGAGGCTAAGGCAGGCAGATCGCCTGAGGTCTGGAGTTCGACGTCAGCCTGGCCGACATGGTGAAACTCTGTCTCTACTAAAAATACAAAAAAAATTAGCCAGGCGTGGTGGTGCACGCCTGCAATCCCAGCTACTTGGGAGGCTGAGGAAAGGGAATCACTTGAACCTGGGAGGCAGAGGTTGCAGTAAGCTGAGATCGCACCACTGTACTCCAGCCTGGGCAACAAGAGCAAAACTCCGACTCGAAAAAAAAAAAAAGAAGAATGCTCAGCATGGGCCGGGCGCGGTGGCTCAAGCCTGTAATCCCAGCACTTTGGGAGGCCGAGGCGGGTGGATCACAAGGTCGAGAGATCGAGACCAACCTGGTCAACATGGTGAAACCCCGTCTCTACTAAAAATACAAAAAAATCAGCTGGGCATGGTGGCACGTGCCTGTAATCCCAGCTACTCCGGAGGCTGAGGCAGGAGAATTGCCTGAGCCCAGGAGGCGGAGGTTGCGGTGAGCCGAGATCGCGCCATTGCACTCCAGCCTGGGCAACAAGAGCGAAACTCCGTCTCAAAAAAAAAACAAAAAAAAAGAATGCTCAGAATGACAACACCAGCTGCTTTGTGTTCCCCCAACTCCAGGTCCCTTCTCCAGCCACCCAGCCCCAAGATGATGATGCCACTGCTGCTGCTTTTTGCACTGGCTGGCCTCTTCGGTGCCGCGGAGGGACAAACGTTTCATCTTGGGAAATGCCCCATGCCTCCGGTGCAGGAGAATTTTGACGTAAATAAGGTGTGGTAAAAGGCGAACCTCGCTTTGTTTTGCTGCCTCTGATGTAAATAAGCATTCTACAAGGTTCAGTTTAATTATGCTGCTTTAATTTCTACTGCGTACCTTGGGACAGGGATTTCCCTTATTTGAGGTTTCCCCAAAGCAGACGCCTGCTGAGAAAAAGACCGCGGGCAGAGAGGCTTGGGATGATCCCAGGACGCAGGACAGTGGGTGGGAAAGCAGGTCGGTGACAGCACAGAGCAATAAAGAGTGTGTTCCTGAGACGTCACCCTGGACAGTCAGGGTCAGTCACACCGGGCACCTGCTGAGGACAGGTGGAGGATGCCCCTCCGATTGTCCGGCGGCTGCTACCAGCAGGCCATGGGAGCATCCTTGGCTCTAGCTAAGCCCCCTGGCAGAGGAGAGACACAGGGTCTCAGGTGGGAGGCTGGTAGTGTCTGGGAATTGCCTGCCATGGCTGCAGTGAACTCAGAGGTGGGCTGAGGGGACACAGGACCTGAGAACAACAAGAACTGCTACAGACCTGTTATCCCTGCTCTACAGATGGAGCAGCGGAAGCTCCCTCCCCAGCTCACATAGCTGGTAAATGCAAATAGGATTCAAAACCAGGTTTCCCAGCAGCGCAGGGCACCCAAAGGTCACTCAAACGGGGCCCGGGAAAAGCCAGGATTCCCCAGGGGGCTTTCTTGTTACCTGAGCTAAAATGTCATCAATGCAAGCAGCTCCTCCATGGACGGTCTTTCTTCCTGGGGTTTAGGGGGAGGGGGAAAGAAGTGGGCGGCAGAAAGAGGCAGCTACTGGTGGACATGACTCACAGGCTCCCACTGTTGCTACTCAAGCCTAGAATCTCACCCTTAAGACGTCCTCTCCCCAGGAGAAGGTCTGGATCTCCTTTAAGAATGGTGACAGTAAGGCTGGGCGTGGTGGCTCACGCCTGTATTCCCAGCACTTTAGGAGGCCAAGGCAGTTGGATCACGAGGTCAAGAGATCAAGACCATCCTGGCCAACATGGCCCTGTCTCTACTAAAAATACAAAAATTAGCTGGGCGTGGTGGCACATGCCTGTAGTCTCAGCTGCTCAGGAGGCTGAGACATGAGAATCACTTGAACCTGGGAGATGGAGGTTGCAGTGAGCCAAGATCACACCACTGCACTGCAGCCTGTCAACAGAGTGAGACTCCATCTCAGAAAAACCAAAACAACAATAAAAAAAACAACTGGTCAGGCACGGTAGCTCATGCTTCGGAGGCCGAGGCAGGTGGATCATAAGGTCAGGAGTTCAAGACTAGCCTAGCCAAGACAGTGAAATGCTGTCTCTACTAAAAATACAAAAATTAGGCCGGGCGCGGTGGCTCAAGCCTGTAATCCCAGCACTTTGGGAGGCCGAGGCGGGTGGATCACGAGGTCAAGAGATCGAGACCATCCTGGTCAGCATGGTGAAACCCCGTCTCTACTAAAAATACAAAAAATTAGCTGGGCATGGTGGCATGTGCCTGTAATCCCAGCTACTCAGGAGGCTGAGGCAGGAGAATTGCCTGAACCCAGGAGGCGGAGGTTGCGGTGAGCCGAGATTGCGCCATTGCACTCCAGCCTGGGCAACCAGAGCGAAACTCGGTCTCAAAAAAAAAAAAAAAAAAAAATTAGCCAGGCATGGTGGCAGGCACCTATAATCCCAGCTAGTGGGAGGCTGAGGCAGAGGTTTGCTTGAATCTGTGAGGCAGAGATTGCAGTGAGCCAAAATTGCACCACTGTATTCCAGCCTGGGTGACAGAGCGAGAGTCCGTCGCAAAAAAAAAAAAAAAAAAAAAAAAAGAATGGTAACACTGAAGTTGTTATCATACAGTTGCACCTCAGTGTGAATGAGTGTTGGGACCTCTGAGGGGATGCTGGTGGGGAAGGAGCACAGGTGTGGTAGGAAAAGGTTATCACAGAGCAGACTGGTCTACATTGACTTAAGGGCTGATCCCTTTATTCAGGTAACTCTGATAGACCACAGGGAGGCTTTAAAGAAAAGATCCAAGGAATCTGAGTTATAGTTTAGCTTTTGGATACAAATCCCAAAGCACTTTGGAAATGATAACTGATCTGTATTTATAAAGTCCTTTGAGAATTAAAGCAGGATTTTAAAAAATAGCAGCTTCCTTGAGATGTAATTTGTATACCATGTATTCCCTTGTTTAAAGTAGCTTTTCACTTTCTTTTTTTTTTTTTTTTTTTTCTTTTTTGAGACGGAGTTTCGCCCTTGTTACCCAGGCTGGAGTGCAATGGCGCGATCTCGGCTCACCTCAACCTCCGCCTCCTGGGTTCAGGCAATTCTCCTGCCTCAGCCTCCGGAGTAGCTGGGATTACAGGCACGTGCCACCATGCTCAGCTAATTTTTTGCACCATTAGTAGAGACGGGGTTTCACCATGTTGACCAGGATGGTCTCGATCTCTTGACCTCGTGATCCACCGGCCTCGGCCTCCCAAAGTGCTGGGATTACAGGCTTGAGCCACCGAGCCCGGCCTGCTTTTCACTTTCAATTGTTAGCATGTTCACAGAGTTATACAACCATCACCACCACAATCAATTTTAGAACATTTTCAGTGTTCCAAAGAGAAACCCCATACCCTTTCACAGAGGCTCCATCGCCCCTCCAACCCTTACAGCCCCAGGCAACCAATAATCTACTTTTTGTCTCCGAATTTGCCCATTCTGCACATTTGATAAAAATGAAATCATACTATATGTGGTCTTTTGTGACTGATTTACTGAACATTTTCAAGATTCATGCATGTTGTAGCATGTATCAATGCTATATCCCTTTTATGACCAAATAATATTTTGTAGGAAATCCATATAGGAAATCAATTGACTGTATACGTGAGAGTTTATTTCTGCACTCTCAATTCTATTGATCTATTTGTCTATACTTATGCCAGTACCATCCAATCTTGATTACTATAGCTCTGTAGTAACCGAAGATTTGAGGTAAGTTTTGAAATAAGAGCATATGAGTCCTCCAACTTTGTTCTTCTGGCTATTCTGTGTCCCTTACATTTTCATATGAACTTTAGGATCAGCTTGTCAATTTCTGCAAAGAAACCAGTTGGAATTTGATACAGATTACATTAAATCTGAAGTTCAATTTGGGAAGTATTGCCATCTTAACAATATTCAGTCTTCTCACTTGTGAACATAGTGTATCTTTCCATTGAATTAGTCATTAATTTCTCTCAACAATATTCTGTGGTTTTCAGAGTATAAGTTTTACATTTCTTTGGTTAAATTTATTCGCAAATATTCAATTCCTTATTGTAGATGGAATTTTTAAAATTTCATCTGCAAATTGTTCATTGCAAGTATACATATACACATATACGTATATTTATACATATGCATATATATTCATGTGTGTGTGTGACAAAGTGTCACTGTGTCATCCAGGCTGGAGTGTAGTGACACCATCTCAGCTCGTTCCAACCTCTGCCTCCCAGGTTCAAGAGATTATCTGCCTTAGCCTCCTGAGTAGCTGGGATTAGAGGCACCTGCCACCATGCCTGGGTAATTTTTGTATTTTTTGTGGAGATGGGGTCTCGCCATGTTGGCCAGGTTGGTCTCAAACTCCTGATCCCAAGTGATCCACCCACCTTGGCCTCCCAAAGTGCTGAGATTACACACACGAGCCACTGTGCCAGGCTGAAAAATAGATTAGATTTTTGAATATTAACCTTGTGGCCGGGCGCGGTGGCTCAAGCCTGTAATCCCAGCACTTTGGGAGGCCGAGGCGGGTGGATCACGAGGTCCAGAGATCGAGACCATCCTGGTCAACATGGTGAAACCCCGTCTCTACTAAAAAACACAAAAAACTAGCTGGGCGTGGTGGCGCGTGCCTGTAATCCTGGCTACTTAGGAGGCTGAGGCAGGAGAATTGCCTGAGCCCAGGAGGCGGAGGTTGCTGGTGAGCCGAGATCGCGCCATTGCACTCCAGCCTGGGTAACAAGAGCGAAACTCCGTCTCAAAAAAAAAAAAAAAAAAAAAAAAAAATTAACCTTGTATCTTGTAACCTTGCTAAACTCATTAGATCTAATCGTTTTGGGGTTTGTTTCTGTTTTAGATTTCTTAGGATATTTTATATATCATCAGCAAATAGATAGAGTTTTACCTCTTCTTGTTGGATTCTTTTGAAATACTGACCAGAGATCTGAGAAGATTAAGAAGCCTTTGCAAAAATAATCTGAGATCATGAGGAAGCTCTGAGTTTTCTTTTTCTGAAAAATCATGCTCCCTTGGTTTTTACTGTGGGACGCTAAAGTCACTTTAAGAGTAATATAACACATTTAAATGCACTGTATAAAATGGAGCTTCTTCTGAGAATGTCTATGAAACCAGTTAACCTCTAACCCTATTCTTTGATGCTTTAAATGAATGTTAAGTTCAGCGGCTTTAATTGAAAGCTGTGCTTTAATAAGAGAGTAGAAATTTATGGTCATGAATGTGGTATGTATTTGAGCAGAAAGCATATATCCTAAGAAATCTAAAACAGAAACAAACCCCAAACCCCACGTGGCTGAAGCAATACTGCCACCTGTTTGCAGCATGCTCTCTTTTCAAGTATGCTCTTCAAAGGTGAGCACATCTCTTTTTGCTTTTAAATTTCTAAAATACTTTCCATTCGTATTTTGACTAGGTAAACATATTTACATTGTTCAAAATCCTAAAGGTGTAAAAGAATACACCACATAAAGTTTCCCTTTCACTTCTGTACCTCCGTTTCCCTCCCCAGGAGCAACTAGCAAAAACCATTTATTGTGTAACTTTTACAGATAGTATATACCTATGCAAACAAATATGCAGGCCAGGGCTGTGGAGGGCTGACCGGTTATTACCACATAATAACTGTGGTAAGAATACTGGCTTCCTAAGGTGTCCACGCCCTAACCTTGTAAGTGTTGCTTTTCATGGGAAAAGGGCTTTTGCAAATGTGATCAAAGTTATGATCCTTGAGATGTCCAGATTAGCCTTGATTATCCAGGGGGTTGGGGGGAGGGGAATCAATCTAATCACATAAACCCTTAAAAGCCGAGAATCTTTCCCAGCTGTGGTCAGAGAGAGAGAGGTTTGATGATGGCGTAAGAGTCAGAGGGATGCAATATGAGAAGCATCTGTCTTGCTTTTGCTGGCTTTGAAAATAAAGGAAGGGAGTCCCAAGCCAAGGAATGTAAGCAGCCTGTAGAACTTGGAAAGCCAAGAAAACTGATCCTCCCTTAGAGCTCTCAGAGGGAAATGCAGCCAACATTTTGAGTTCAGCCCAATGAGACCCGTGTCAGCCTTCTGACTTACAGAGCTGCAAAGCAATAAGTCTGTACTGTTTTAAGCTTGTAGTAATTTATTATAGCAGCAACAGAAAACCAACATAACCATTTTTTCCATTTTTAGATAAAAGGTAGCTTAATATATACACTATTTTGTACCTGACTCTTTTGTCATTAAATATTGGAAATCACTGCATACCACTCTTTTGAAAGAGAGGAAATAAAATTCCATTGTCTAGATATGCCATCATTTACTTACCCAGCCCCCTACCAAGGCTCACATAGGCTGTTTCCTATCTTATATCATTACAAACGGTACTGTTATGAATACTTTTTTTTTTTTTTTTGAGACGGAGTTTCGCTCTTGTTACCCAGGCTGGAGTGCAATGGCGCGATCTCGGCTCACCGCAACCTCCGCCTCCTGGGTTCAGGCAATTCTCCTGCCTCAGCCTCCTGAGTAGCTGGGATTACAGGCACGTGCCACCACGCCCAGCTAATTTTTTGTATTTTTAGTAGAGACGGGGTTTCACCATGTTGACCAGGATGGTCTCGATATCTCGACCTCGTGATCCACCCGCCTCGGCCTCCCAAAGTGCTGGGATTACAGGCTTGAGCCACCGCGCCCGGCCGCATACATCATTTCTTATATCAGGAGGATGCATTCCCAGAAGTGAAATGGCTGGGGCAAAGAGTATAATATGCATTTCTAGCTTTACTAGATACTGCCCTCCGCAGAGGTTGTAAACTGGGATGGTCTTCCTGCAACTGGTGCCAGGCAGCCTGGGAGGGCCTGGTTCCCTCGACCTTCCCCACACATAGGCAGCTTCCTTTCAAGGTGACTCTATCCACCAACGTCTGGATGGAGCACAAGCCCCTAGAGAAAGCATGATACAGGTCTTTCAAATCCCCATCACCTTCCGAAGCCTTGGTGACCAACTCCCTACTCAGGGTCAAATGAGGAAACTTCAATGCACTCTGGTGTCCTAAGCTCCCCACAGCCAACACATCTGACTGCACAAGATTCAAAGATGACTTGTAGAATCATGCACTGTTTCAGATGAAAGGTACCTCCCATCAGCCCCTTTTTTTACAGAGTCTAGATTTTCACAGAGGTTTTGGCTGAAGGGGACACTGAGAAGAGCCATCAGCATTCACCCTGCGCCCGCACATCCTATCCTAGTCACGGATTCTTATTGCAATCAATCTCTTGCCCAGTTGCCACTGGGCACAATGAGGCCCATTTTGTCTGGCTTCCCCAGGACAGGGCTCTGCTTCTGCACGACAGCAATGGGGAAGAGGTTGCAGGTCCCCAGAGAACCACAGGGTTTTGCTCTGCTTCTTGTCTCTGCAGTATCTCGGAAGATGGTACGAAATTGAGAAGATCCCAACGACCTTTGAGAAAGGAAGGTGCATCCAGGCCAACTACTCCCTAATGGACAACGGAAACATCAAAGTGTTAAACCGGGAGTTGAGGTGAGTGGCTGTGGCCTTGCTGACCTGGAGTGACTGGGCGTCCGGCAGCCTGGGTCAGGGACGATGGGGACCTTGCCGAGTCTAGACTGCCTGCTCCTAGCAGGAATTGAGAGGAAAGCTTTCGGCAGGCAAGGATGGCAAGAACAAGGAGCCACTCACGAGTTTCCACAACCACCTGCTGTGTGAGCGGCACAAACTGACAGGGTGTCTGTTCTCACTGCAAAATAGATACTCTGGTAGCAAAGAACATCGAGACCATCTCCTCTGACCTCCAGTCCAGGACAGAAGCCCCTTTGATACCATCTTCTGACAGAGCATCCAGCTTTGTTCGAATACTTCCAGGAACAGGGAGCTCATCACCTTTCAGGACAGTTCATCCCATCTCTAGGCAGCTTAGTCTATTGAAAGCTCCTTTTATTATTAAGCAAGAATCATATACATACATATTGACACTCTATGTTATATAAACAGGATATCCTTTAGAAGTGTACATTTCTATTACCGAGAGCTTCTAACATGTTAAATTTGATTAAACATATCAAATTTAATCCCAAAAGTTATACTTTGGAAAGCAAACATAAACTTAAAAAGAACCCCAGGAAGAAGTCCTTCCTACCCACCCTCCACTCTTGAAAATACAAATGCGGTTTTTTCATGAACATGTTGTGAGTTCATGGTCAGAGACTTGTGTTCTGAAAACGGTTCTGGAGCAAAATGCAATTGACATGAAAAGGGCAGAGTCTGGTGGGAGGAGACTGGTTTGTTGCTAAGTGAGTATATGCAGATAGAAGCAGACCGTCTTGCCCAGCTGTCTGAAATCCAGATGAGAGAGTAAAGGACAGTCTCCAGCCTTACATGGTGATAAACAAAGAACGTAGTTGGGAACATCAGAGTTCATTTCCTAAACTCCCTGGCCTGTTGCTCACTGTCTGGTTTCTAGGACATTCCACCACTAACCATAGCATCAACCTACTGACTTTCTGACACGTATGACTGCTCTAATTTCAGTTGGCCTCCCTGCACTGCCTTGAAGATTGATGAACAGACATTATCTCCTCTGTTGGCTTCCTAGGAAGAGCACCGATGCCTTAGCACCCTCCCTTTGCTAACTCCATCTCCACACCTCTCCCGTTCTCCTAAGTTCATGGGGCCATTAGGAGTCATCTAGAAATGGGGGCAGGCCCATTCAAAGAGGTGAAAGTATCGCATCCACTCTAAGTCCACAGCTTTTAAGACACACCACTGTGTTATATATCACTAAGAAAAACATGACACTGCTAATTATTATTGTCAGGTGGCATTAATTGTAAGATATATATTTATTTACATTTAATGTCTCTGCCAGCTGGGCATACCTGAGAATCACTGAGATAAAGTAAACGTTTCTTCACTGTCTCCTTTTACTTGGCCTACGTCGAAAACCCCACACTCACTTAAAGACCTGCTAAACTAAATGGGGTCTTGGGACTCACGCCTTGATGGGACAGGTGATGTCACATGATATCACTGAGGCCCAAAGAAGGGAAATGCTTTTGTGTCTCCCGGTTTTGCATTATTTTCAGTGATTGAGTCCATCCTCTTCTGTTCCTTCGGTCCTTCTCATTTTAAAAGAAGTGAATCTGGGCCGGGCGCGGTGGCTCAGGCCTGTAATCCCAGCACTTTGGGAGGCCGAGGCGGGTGGATCACGAGGTCAGGAGATCGAGACCATCCTGGCCAACATGGTGAAACCCCGTCTCTACTAAAAATACAAAACATTAGCTGGGCATGGTGGCGCGTGCCTGTAATCCCAGCTACTCAGGAGGCTGAGGCAGGAGAATTGCCTGAGCCCAGGAGGCGGAGGTTGCGGTGAGCCGAGATCGCGCCATTGCACTCCAGCCTGGGTAACAAGAGCGAAACTCCGTCTCAAAAAAAAAAAAAAAAAAAATCTACCGGGCATGGTGGCCCACGCCTATGATCCCAGAACTTTAGGAGGCCCAGGCGGGCGGATTGCCTGAGGTCAGGCGTTTGAGACCAGCCTGGCTAATATAGCAAAACCCCATCTCTACTAAAAATACAAAAATTAGCTGGGCATGGTGGCAGGCACCTGTAGTCCCAGCTACTCGGGAGGCTGAGGCAAGATAATTGCTTGAACCTGGGAGGCAAAGGTTGCAGTGAGCTGAGATTTCGCTATTGCACTCCAGCCCGGGCAACAGAAGAGTCTGTCTCAAAAAAAAAAAAAATCTTCCTTGTGCATTGGGTTGTTTTGTTCGTTTTTCCATTCTCTTTTACTCCCTCTCTTTGGAGGCTGGGAGCAGAAAGTTGTCTTTGGGGCCATTGCAGATAATCCAAAAGACAGTGTTGAGGTGCAGGGGCCTAACATACTATCCCATCCTGGAGCATGTCAATTGCTGCTTCTTATCACCCCACTGCTCTCTTCCCCTGCTTGGCCACAGAGACAGTCACAAAGGAAAGAGCAGGGTATAGAGCTGGGGTCTAGCCTGCCTTTGAGAGTCTCTTTTACCAGAAATCACAGTGTTGGCTGCCATGGTCCTTAGTGGCACAAATCTTGCCTTTTTTTGCTTTTTGGCTTTCAATGAGTTGTTTTTCTTTTCTCTTTTCTTTCTTTTTATTTTAATCATTGCAGATACGATGGAACTGTGAATCAAATTGAAGGTGAAGCCACCCAGGTTAACCTCACAGAGCCTGCCAAGCTGGCAGTTAAGTTTTTCTGGTGTAAGTATCCACTTTTCCCAGGAGGATTCAGGGACAGGAAATATGCAAATGAAGGCTAGCACCCTGGCTTGGAGAATTCCTGAGACATCTGAGTGTCATAATTATCTGTTGTGCACTTACTACATGCCATGCGCTAGGGTCGCCATGATGAGCCAGACAGATTTGGCCTTGGTGCTTATGGAACCTCCATCCCAGTGTGGATACTGACACGTGCTCCTGCAATTTACTGTAACTAGCCAGTGTTTCAACAGGTGAAACACAAATGGGTCCACACAGGGATCAGCTGTAGAAGACCCAATCCAGCCTTGTTTCCCAGAGAAAAACTGGACCCGAAAAATTAGCAGGTGTTAGTAGAACAATCTGCACTGTGCAAAATCTTGGAGGCAAGAGATGACAGGAGTGACGGCAAATTTGAATCCTGCTTCTGACACTTTCCAGTCACGTTGTTGGGGAGCCTGTGTGCTATGTAATGACAGGCATCTGGGTTCTGAGCTAACTGAGGAATGGACACAGGCAACAGAGAAAGCCCCAAATATTAGTTTTATTGCCAATGTAGATACACTAGAGAGTTCAACCCAGAACCCGCGAGGCTTTCTAACATGCAGAGTGCTTGAGAGTCCCTTTCCCACCTGCAGGGCAGACACTAACGTCATTAGCGACAAAAACGTCCCCACTTCCCACTTCTCACCCCTGCCACTCCTCCAACCCACATCAGTCAAGTTCCTAGAGTGGGGCAGAGAGAAAGGGTTTTGTTTTGTTTTTTAGACAGTCTCACTCTTATCTCCAGGCTGGAATGCAGTGGTGAAATCTCAGCTCACTGCAACCTCCACCTCCTGGGTTCAAGCAGTTTTCCTGCCTCAGCCTCCCAAGTAGCTGGGACTACAGGCGCGCACCACCACTCGCGGCTAATTTTTGTATTTTAGTAGAGACGGCGTTTCACCATGTTGGCCAGGATGGTCTCGATCTCCTCTCCTGCTGGGCACTTTGAGAGGCCGAGGAGGGAGGATCACAAAGTCAGGAGATCAAGACCATCCTGGCCAACACGATGAAACCTTGTCTCTACTAAAAATACAAAAATTAGCTGGGTGTGGTGGCTGTGCCTGTAGTCCTAGCTACTCAGGAGGCTGAGGCAGGAGAATTGCTTGAACCCAGGAGGCAGAGGTTGCAGTGGGCTGAGGTCGCGCCACTGCACTCCAGCCTGGGCAATAGAGCGAGACTCCATCTTGGGGTAAAAAAAAAAAAAAAAAAAAAAAAGAAGGCCTGAATAAAAAGTCCTAGAACCTGAGAGGGTACATGGAGTGGGGGATGAGGTTAGGAAGGGCCTTGAATGCCACATTAGATGGCTCTAAGTTTCTTCCATAAACAATAGGAGATTGTCAAAGTTTTCAAATCAAGAGAGACACGTGGAATTTTTCCGTATTGTATCTGTGTATATTTATTCTTGAGAGCTGGACCATGAGAGGAAGATAGTACGTGCACACCTGGGTGTGTGCAGGTGGGACATGATGCCGCTGCTCGCAGAGGCTGAAGATATATTTTTCCAAAATCACTCAGTGCTTAAGAGTTCTCAGTCCAGCTGGGAATACACAGAGCAGCTGAAATGTGCAGATAGCAGATGGGTGATGACTATACCACACACACACACACACACACACACACACTCACTCTCTCTCTCTCTCTCTCTCTCTCTCTCCCCCTCTCTCTCTCTCTCTGGGTGAGGCAGGCAGGCAGGGCACCAACAGTGTAGCAAGGTAAGTTAGAAACACTCAGCCCAGGCTTTCTTCCTAACTTCTTTCACGGGTCTTTCTGTTTCTGGATTGACAAAGTCAGAGGTGGAGGGGCTTGGTGGGTGGTTTTCTGAGGTTTCTCTTGCCTCTCCCTCCTATAACGCTGCCTCCCTCGGGCCCTCAGTGATGCCGTCTGCACCGTACTGGGTCCTGGCCACCGACTATGAGAACTATGCCCTCGTGTACTCCTGTACCGACTTCATCCAGCTTTTTCACGTGGATTTTGCTTGGATCTTGGGAAGAAACTCTTATCTCCCTCCAGAAACAGTGGACTCTCTGAAAAATATCCTGACTTCTAATAACATTCCTGTTGACAAAATGACAGTCACAGATCAGATGAACTGCCCTGAGTTCCCATAACCAGGATCTACAGGGAGGCTGCGTCCACTCCATGTTACTTCTGCTTTGCTTTCGCCCACCCTTGACCAGAAAGACAAACCAGTCAGCCATGACAAGCCTGAACACTTAGCCATGCCCTACCCTGCTACCCAGCTAGCTGCAAAATAAACGTGTTGCTGACCTGCTGTGCTCACAGTAGATTCCAAGTTGTATTACTTATTGTGGGTTTTTCATTATAAGCTTATGCTTAGACATTCTTAAACAGGCTGGTCATGGTGGCTCACGCCTGTAATCCCAGCACTTTGAGAGGCTGAGGCAGGAGGATCACCTGAGGCCAGGAGTTCAAGACCAGTCTGGGCAACATAGCAAGACCTCATAAAAATTAGCTGGGCATGGTGGATCACACCTGTGCTAGCTACTCAGGATGTGGTGGCAGGAGGATCACTTGAACCCAAGAGTTCAAGGGTACAGTGAGCTATGATGGTACCACTGCACTCCAGCCTGGGCAACAGAGCAAGACCTTGCCTCTAAAAAAGAAAAACAAAATCCTTAAGCAGTTATGTTGAAAAAAAACAAGCACTGAATGGTCTTAGTTTAAAGGTAACAATCCTGTTTCTGGAAGGGGAAAGCTGATGGCAAAGGCATATTCTGGGTGGCCTGAATCCAGGTGCCCCCATTCTAGAGTGGATACTCCTTTCAAGAGAAATTATTTGGGGGTTCTGAGTCTCTGCCGGGCAGTTTCCTTGAAAGGTTTACTTTCTCCTCAGGTCTTCAGAGTCAGGCTGAAGAATGAGCCCATTTTGGGCTTTCTGTAAGGAAGAGGAGAATCTATAAGGAAGAAGAGATGGAGTTTTTTTTTAAGGAAAGAAAAGACATATATATGTGTTGTTGTTCATTCAACTGACATTTACAGAAGCCCAATCGCATTCCAGGCGTTGAAAAATACAGAATCTCAGCCAGGCACAGTGGCTCATGCCTGTAATCCCAGCACTTTGGGAGGCCAAAGTGGGCAGATCATGAGGTCAAGAGATTGAGACCATCCTGGCCAACACTGTGAAACCCCGTCTGTACTAAACATACAAAAATTAGCTGGGCATGGTAGTATGTACCTGTAGTCCCAGCTACTCAGGAGGCTGAGGCAGGAGAATTGCTGGAACCTGGGAGGTGGAGGCTGCAGTGAGCTGAGATCGAGCCACTGTACTCCAGCCTGGCAACAGAGTGAGAGTCTGTCTCAAAAAAAGAAAACTACGGAATCCCTGTCCTCCCATAGAACCGTCACAGTCTAGTGAGAGAGAAACAAATAAAGATGCAATTATAATCCAAGGTGAGGAGTGCAAAGGTAGAGGCACACAGAGGGTGCCAGGGAGCCCCAGGAAAGTCCCGACCCCTGCCAGACAGGCAAGCAGTAACGTTGTGCAGCTACGCCTATGAGCATTCCAACTTCCCAATACCAACAGGTCTCAAGAGCCTCATTGTGGCCAGGCACAAGTGGCTCATGTCTATAATCCCAGTACTTTGGGAGGCCAAGGTGGTAGATCACCTGAGGCCAGGAGTTCAAGACCAGCCTGGCCAACACGGTGAAAGCCTGTCTCTACTAAAAATTCAAATATTAGCCAGGTATGGTGGCAGGCACCTGTAAACCCAGCTACTCGGGAGGCTGAGGCAGTAGAATCACTTGAACCCAGAAGGTGGAGGTTGCAGTGAGCCAAGATTGCACCATTGCACTCCAACCTGGGTGACAGAGCAAGACTTCCTCTCAAAAACAAAACAAAACAAAAAAACCTCGCTGAGTTTGTTTTTTTACATCGTGACTTTTAAAACCAGAAAGACCTCAAAATAATAGCGCATTAATTTAACTCAGCTCACATAACATTGATAATTTACTAATGTTTTGGAAAAAGAAAAGAAAATTAAGCCATTTGATTAGATTTTTGCTTTTTGAGGATGAATATGAAATATTAATTTCCTCGACCACTTGAGACTCTTTGATGCTTTAATGATTACAAAAATCCCAAGGATTTTAATATATATCATTTTCATTTAACTAGATAAAAACAGCCTCAAAATGTAGCTTCGAATTTGAAATCCCAAAAGGCTGAAAGCCATTAGCAAAAGGAGGAGGTGGGCATGAAGGGAGGGGGGCCTCTCCCCGTTCTGCCTGCAGCTGCACCCTATACCCTGTCACACTGCCCACCCCCTGCCAGAGGGCATTTGTCTTCTCTGCTGAAAGACAGTTACTCCTGAGTGTTACACTGGAGAGCTGGCTTTTATCTCAGGGTACAAAATAAGTTATGATTTAAAGCTGGCTTTTATATCAGGGTACAAAAGAAGTTATGATTTCGTTCCTCTTTTTTTTTTTTTTTTTTTTTTTTTTGAGACAGTCTCACTCTGTCACCGGGCTGGAGTGCAATGGCACAATCTCAGCTAACTGCAACCTCCAACTCCCTGGTTCAAGCGATTCTCCTGCCTCAGCCTCCAGAGTAGCTGGGATTACAGGCACGCGTGCCACCATGCCCAGCTAATTTTTGTATTTTTAGTAGAGGCAGAGTTTCATGTTGGCCAGGATGGTCTCGATCTCCTAACCTCATGATCCACTTGCCTTGGCCATCCAAAGTGCTGGGATTACAGGTGTGAGCCACCACACCCAGCTGATTTTGTTCATCTTTTTTTTTTTTTTTTTTTTTTTTTTTTTTTTGAGAGGGAGTTTCGCTCTTGCTGCCCAGGCTGGAGTGCAATGGCGCGATCTCGGCTCACCGCAACCTCCGCCTCCTGGGTTCAGGCAATTCTCCCGCCTCAGCCTCCTGAGTAGCTGGGATTACAGGCACACGCCACTACGCCCAGCTAATTTTTTTGTATTTTTAGTAGAGACGGGGTTTCATCATGTTGACCAGGATGGTCTCGATCTCTTGACCTCGTGATCCACCCGCCTCGGCCTTCCAAAGTGCTGGGATTACAGGCTTGAGCCACCGCGCCCGGCGAATTTTGTTCCTCTTAATACCTGTCTAGTAACATCTAAAACGAAGAAAGTCACTATATTTTGCAACATTTTTCATGTCTTGACCAATATGTAGGCTCACTTTTTTAATGTGAATGAATTACTGAGTAGGTAGATAGATGGACTTGAGTTATTAGGTGAGGAAGGAAAAGGAAGCTAGGAGGCAGGAGGCAGGGGTAACTGAACGTGAGAAAAATTTGAGGGAATCATAGGGCTGCATGTGAGTACCAACTGTCTGGAGGAAACATGGGGGCTAACAACCAAAAAATCCAGAGGGGAGAGAAAGAGAAAGGAAGTGGGACAGGAACCACAAACAGAGGCAATAGTATATAATAAATCTCGATGTATCCATCATTAACTCCAGCAGTGATCATCGTTTCATCAATCTTGCTTCAGCTATCATCACCTCCCAGTTTTTTTGTTCCTTGAGTGCTTTGAAGCAGATACCAGATATCACATCCTACTATTTTGCCCATAGCTACTTAAGTAGAAATCTCTAGCAAATACAGACACTTTTTAAACAACAACAAAAAATAGCGAGGTTATATTTTCTGTTCTGGAGGTGCTCAGAGAATGTAATCTCTATGTAATTTAAAAATTATTGGGCCGGGCGCGGTGGCTCAAGCCTGTAATCCCAGCACTTTGGGAGGCCGAGGCGGGTGGATCACGAGGTCAAGAGATCGAGACCATCCTGGTCAACATGGTGAAACCCCGTCTCTACTAAAAATACAAAAAATTAGCTGGGCAGTGGTGGCGCGTGCCTGTAATCCCAGCTACTCAGGAGGCTGAGGCAGGAGAATTGCCTGAACCCAGGAGGCGGAGGTTGCGGTGAGCTGAGATCGCGCCATTGCACTCCAGCCTGGGTGACAAGAGCGAAACTCCGTCTCAAAAAAAAAAAAAAAAAAAAAATTATTTTATATCATCTGGAAGATGAAAAGGAAGATGTATCCACAAAAATGTTCATAGTTTTACTTGCAGCAGTCCCCACACTGAAAGGGGCTGTAAACCAAAGCTAACAGCAGAGGAAGGGTCATAAATTATGGAATAGCCACTTTATGGGATGTCAGGCATTCATGAACGTTTTTAGTTGTAAGAACTACAAAGCCGTGGCTGGGCACGGTGGTTCACGCCTGTAATCCCAGCACTTTGGGAGGCCGAGGCAGGCAGATCATGAGGTCACGAGTTCGAGAGCAGCCTGGACAACATGGTGAAACACTGTGTCTACCAAAGATACCAAAAATTAGTTGTGGGTGGTGGTGTGCACTTGGAATTCCAGCTACTCAGGAGGCTGAGGCAGGAGAATCACTTGAACCCCAGAGGAAGAGGTTGCAGTGAGCCGAGATTGTGCCATTGCACTCCAGCCTGGGGGACAGGGTGAGACTCTGTCTCAAAAAAAAAAAAAAAAAAAAAAAAGAACTGTGAAGCTACACCCACTGCTTGCTGGGGGAGTCCCAGCCGATGCCCTTGCTGCCCTGAAGAGCTAGAGTCTAAAACATGTGACTCCACCTCCCCACCCACACCTGATTGGACCAATGTCGGTCCACCTGTGCTGGTGACAGCCAATCCCCAGGCCGAACAGAAACCTCTGACTTTTATGGCCTCACTGGATGGAAAAGATAAATTAGGACAATCAAATCCGGGTTTGACTTTAAGCAGTCTGGAAAGAGGATCATTGAAAGCTCTGGTACTGCAAGGCCATGTAGTTTGTAGTGGCCACTACTGGCCATGCACATCTGAACTGATATGCACAGAGCGGAAGCGCAGGAGAAGCAGAGATTCCCCCTGCCCAACCAAGGCCCCTGACATAGCAGCTTCAATAGCTGTTGGCTTGCCGTGTCCTAGCACCAGTTCCTGGGGAGCTTAGCCATCTTAGGCGCCTGTCCTTGGTTTCTGTAAGATTAGGCACGGACACTATTTTCTGAGATGATTTAACTTCTGAGTAAATGTTCCTTGCAACCAAAATCGTCCTCAAACAAAAGCGTTGACAATATAATGTTGGGTGAAAGAGAGAACGCAGCATTTTAACTACGCTGTATTTATAGCTGCATGAAACGATGGCACAAAATCAAGAACTAAAAGTGAACACAGAAAATGAAGGCAATTAATGAGTTAGAGTGGTGGAATTATGGGTAATTTTTCCCCTTTTATAGTTTTGCTGCTGCTACTTATAGTGGAGGCCCTAAAAATTCAGACCCTAAAATCTCCTTCTAG